AAGCTCAATAGAAAGTCCTTTTTCTCTCCATAATGTTCCTCTTTTTCACCATTACAGTTCAACCAATTTTTCTTGTAAGATATCAAGTTGTTCTCATCGATCTTCATCACATTTTATGTCTAACTTGTGATGTAAAAGCACAATTGCTTTCACCTTCTGCATCTTTTGTGTCTTCCTCATCATTACTCAATGGATTTGCAAGTTCTCAAACTCTCCCATGGAATTCAGTGGCATGCTCCTTGTCATCCCCATTCGATCTGAGATTCTCAGATTTTGTCATTAGGATTTGGTGCTTTCCAGTTTTAACCTTCTCATCTCATTCATGGGTAATCTCAAGAATCTCCTAGGCCTTTTTTGCTTCAACATAGTTGGAAATAAGTCTGTACTGGGTGGGGAGCATCCACTGCACCGAGTACGTACAACTCTTTCTATTTCGACCCTCACCCTAGTAAAACAATTTTTTGTGCTATGCATTTTTAGATTCAGAACCACACCATTTCAATTTCAAGAAGTGCATATACCCCCTTTTGTGCTTAATCTAATATTGATATCTCTCGATGTTCAACAATTGGGTATTTCATTTTGTTTCCTTCTATTTGTTTTTACTTCCACTACTAGAAACATCTTGATTAGTTTTTAATGTTAAACAAATGAAAGAATGAGTCAGTTTTTTACTTCGTAGACAATAATATACTAATATTACTCCTAGTAGTATTGGCTATAATAGTGTTTGATTATTAGTCAGCTTCCTATTTCTATTTCTAACAGATGTTGTGTTTTAGTTAGTCTTCATTCTCTATTCCTAGTTGTGTTAGGAGTCTCTAATATATATACTCTATCATTTAATTCATAATTCAATGGAGCAATATTATTATTTCAATATTTTTAAACACCCTTTCACTGCGAATAAATATCTGCTGCTATAAAGCATAACATTTTTTAGGTACTCTTACACAGTGGATAAATATCCGTTGTGTAATCATGTGCGTTTTTTCACTACCATTACAGAGCGGATATTTATTCACTGTGTAAACATAACATCTTTCCCACCGGCCACATACATATCGATTGGATTCCGCTGGGAAAGGTCAAATTTATCCGTTGTGTGTTCCCCGTTTTGAAGTAGTGTGGCCGTTGAACGTTACTACCTTCTTGCATGTCGCCCATGGCTCAGATCTACTAAAGCTAGTAATTTAAGCTTGACTCGCTCCAATACCAACTGAAATCTCGTATGGGTATAGAAATTACCCAAACAAAGTTAATTTGTACTAACAAAACAAAAGGGTTAAGTTTCTCCATTGATTTTGTCCATCTTAGGCTTTATTCATCTTGAATTTGTCATGGTGTTTGTCACTTGAACATTTTGTTTTTGTTAATTATCAAAACATGTGACTCAACACTTAATTGAAAAAAAAGGGTTGAACACATGTATTCCAACAATATCAAAATAAATAATTAGGTATGAAAATATGATAACAGCTCTTTTGAGAGTCCTACGGTGGTTCATTACGCTTGGAGACTGGGTTCAGGTTAATCCATGTTCGAGCAAAAGTTATAACATACACTCGCCTGTACGAGAAAAATCGTATAATTGGTGTTAATTTGCATAATCACGATGGTAGAACCGATCAACAAATCGAAACCCTGAGAGAGAGAGTGTGTGTGCGTGTGTGTGTGCGCGCGTGTCAATCGACCAAGAGAGAGAGAGAGTGTGTGTGTGTGTCGATGGTAGAGTCGATCGACAAAGAGTGCCACAACGTCAAACGCATAGAGAGAAGTTGGCGAAAGAAGCTAATGGGTCGGAGTTGAGTTTTGCAGCGCCGCTGGAAAATTAGAACCCTTGTTGCAATAAAGATGAAGTTGGTGGAGATGGTGGTGGTGGTGATATTGTGAGTATTTTAAATGAAGAATAATTTAATTACTTGTAAATGAATATTTATATTATTGTAATTAACACTATATTTGTTTTATGAAAATGAGTATCGTATTTCGCACTAATATAAATTTGATGGATGTAGAACAAAAATAAAAAGTAGTCAAAATGAACATTCTATTGCTTAAAATGAGTGTAGTTGGTTGAGCTAGATACAACATATAGATACGTACTCATGCTGGACGGGAGGGGGTTGCTGNGCTGTAGCACCATAAGACTTCGGTATCATCTATGGACATCAATTGTTTGTCAAAACTCAAAACAAATTTTTACCTTTTAATTTATACTTGAGTAAATTCCATAAAAGGTTCCCCAGTTATAGATCGTTTTACATATTTAGTTCCTACATATCAAATATTACTAATTTAGTCCCCATTTATTAGATTTATTTCCATGAATGGTCCTTTGTTAACATTTTTGTTAAGAACGTGGATAAAATTGTAAATTCACACTCCTTTCTCTCCTCAATTAAGCTTCCTCCCTCCCCTCGCACTCATTTCCCAAACCCGTCGCTGAGTTTGAAGCTTTGAACCCAAAACAGAAATTAGCACTCTTCTCTCAATTGTTTGTCGAACTGGTGGAACCCAAATTCGAAACCAGTAACCTTCATGGATGAGTTTTAATGTTTATTTTCCTTGCAATTTCTTGAGACTAACTGATCTTATTGGTTTTGATTTTAGGTTCCACTAGGAAGACTAATAATTGAGATAGGAGTGATCATTTCAGTTTTGGGTTTAGAGCTTCAAACTCAGCGACGAGTTGGAGAAAGAGTACGAGAGGAGGGGGGAAACTTAATTGAGGAGAGAGAAAAGTATGAATATACAATTTTATCCATGTTCTTAACAAAAATGTTAACAAAGGATCATTCGTGAAAAATGATATAATAATTGGGAAAACTAAATTAGTAATATTTGATATGTAGGAACTAAATATGTAAAACAACCTATAAATGGGAACCTTTTATAGAATTTACTCTTTATACTTAGTGGAAAGTGAGCCAAGGGAGATATTGCTTGTCAATAAGATAAATAGAGCTTACAATTTACAAACCCACCGAGATTGGTTGATGGAAAATCTACCAAAATTCAAATATATCTACATAATCATTTAGAACATTAAAGGGAGTAGCCAAACTGGGCACATAAATAATTGGGATTTCCTAATTGTCAGGAAACCAACTCACCCAAAAACTCTAGCTCGTGGTTATTATAGCCACATGAAAAATTTTTATATTCTAACATGCCTACTCAGATATGGTCGCTTCGAGCCACGCACACGTGAGAAAGCCCTTTTTTTAACTAGGTAGCAGTAGAGTTTAAATTCGTGACCTCTTGGTCACCAAAGCTTTGATACCATGTCAAGGAATTAATTCAATCAAAAGCTCAAGTTTGTTGCCGTAGGCCCGTGAAATAGTTTTATATTCTAACACTGATCTAAATAGAATATGAACGGGTGCAAACCACCTCAAGGGCTTGTGTGAACAAGGCAGAGAAACTTGTCATGGCCTGGAACACCCCTGGCAAACCAGTCTGAATGTTGTGTAGGGTCATGGCCCTAGTGACTTCCACCTCCTTGGAGTGTTTCAACATCTCATCTTCCACCCTACGCTGGCAAGAAGCCAGTTCTGCTTTTTTCTCAGCCAAAGGGTCTCGTGCGTCCAGTGCAGAGCTGCCACTGTCGAGGAGACCGATCCCGACCATGGAGTACGAATGGTAATACTTCTTCTCGATCCTCCTCAGACTTGAAGCTTTTCTCTCCAGCTCTTTTGATGCAGACTCGGTTCGCTTCTTGATCTTGAGTTCTTCGGTCTGTTTCAAGAATATCGAGTGGACGATGTTTACGAAGCTTTTGATGGCTTCGGAAGCTACAGTGTCCGGGACACGGTCAAGGGCGAGCTTCCACTCATCAAAGAAGGAAAATGCCTCTGAAGTATGATTGGTGCTGCCGGTGGTGGTGGGCTCCACTAGGGTCAGCCTGAACCAGCCATGAAGGGAGCAGATGAAATCGCGTTGGAACTTTATAAGGCGACAGAAACTTGAGTGCCATGCAGTTACAGCAGACTCAAGGTCTCGTGTTGCCTGCCGATGAAGATCAGAAGTTGATTGACCTTTGTCTGCTCTGTTGTTAACCAGTCCTCGGACCTGCTGAACAATGTCATTCTGAGCTTCATGGAACTCATTCATGTATCTCCACATGTACATAAATCTGCATTATGCATTATGAGAAAACGAAAGATGATTTTTTTTCCAGAATGTAAATGGTAAATTGTGAATGATTCGGGCTGAAATTGTACTGCACAATAATCTTGTCTAACTCGGTGCCAATATTTGTTTAAATGCCATATCACGATGTGAAACTGATATTTACAATAGTAACGAAAAATGCACACAATTAACTCTTCAGTCATGACTCATGACCAAGCACCTAGAGTATTTTTAAAAACAGTTCAAATGTAAATCAAGTCCACAAGAAAGGTAGTAGTTCATTGTTAAAATATGAGACTGGCAAGTCGGGGAAGAAAGAATTTGGCAGCCAGTGTGGCGATAATTCTACAATTCAGAAAATACTTTTAAATTCGATTAAAAGATTCATTTTCCCATGGCAAGTTGATATTCTGAGAGAAAATGACTGTCTTTACCCATTTGTATAAACCGTCTCGAAGAATTAAAATGCTGCAAAAATACAACAGTGTATGGAGTCAAGATGTACGCAACCTTACCCTTGTGAGAAACAAAAACATACTCCGTAATTTTTTTAAAACAAGCACACCCAGGATAATACTTACCCATGACAGAGTTCAACAAGCTGTGGAACAAGATCAGAGTCTCTTAGACCAACAATAGCAGAAGAGGTAGTCGAGACAGCCTGTGATGTGACCACAATTAAGGATTGCAGTCTTGTTATTGAAGCCTTGGTTTTGTCCATTTTGCCCCTGTCCTTCCCTCTGTACTCCTGACATTGTAGTGCTCTTAACTTCTTTTCATGCTCAATTTTCACTCCTTCTCTGGCCTGCATGAACAAGACTTACATAAATACCTAAAAATTAGAGAATACTCCCTCCGTCCCCAAAAAAAAACCTTATTTCTTTTTTGGGACATCCCAAAGAAAGCCTCCTCTTTCCTTTTTTGGAAAATTTTGAGTGGCTCACAATCTTTCTCTCTCGTGTGCATCACTTCCAACCACACATTTTCACTTTCCTTAAACTTTATGCCAAGTCAAACTAAGAACCTTTTTTTTGGACGGAGGGAGTATAAGGAGTACCCAAGGGAAAGTGCTGTAAATGCTTTCCTGAGGAACTCGTCATTTATTCAACTCACTAAAATTGCAACAAGAGGAAACTATCTCACAAAAGGGAAAACGAAGATGGCAGAGGAAAGTTAAAGGTTCCGAAGGATATCTTCTACAAATTATATGCTGCAAAAGAAGTACCCATTACGTAACTTGATCAACCCATATGCCCAACCTATTCAACAAAATGAGAATACTTCACAACGTTTATTTTGAACACCACTTTTTTAGCTAGACATGATTCAGGAAGGCATTCCCAGTTTCATTCTCAGTAATAACATTTCAGAAAGGCCATGATCAAATAAACAAAACTGAAGAGTAATAACACATTACACCGACCCCTACCTGTCTATTCCTGAAAAGGTTTTATCATTGTTAGGCACAAATTGCAGCGAGAATTAGAACGGAAGACCTCCCTGTGCTCAATATCAACATCATAACATCAATATAGATTGTCGTTACAATATCAAACAAACATCAGCAATCTTGTCATTCCACTATAACTGAACTCATTAGACCCAAAAAAGTTGGACTGTCAAAAGGCTCAAAAATGCTCAGAGATAATCATCCAAAACCCAATTTATGCACCTCCACCATCTACAACATAATTGCACTACAAGATTCCGGGAATTCAAAAACATTTTTCCATTTATAATGATGACAGTTTATAGCAAAAGATAATTCTAAGGAAACCAGTATCGTTAGCAGCATATGGTCAAAACTCTCCCCAATGTGTGAGAATTAGACCATTTGAAAAAGAGAAAATATCGAGAAAATCAAGATCAACATGAGTACCTTGACCTCCTGATAAAGTTTCTTTTCCCAAGCCAATAGTCGTTCCAATGTGGAACAAAGACTCTTAGAACCGTCCACTCCCATGATTGAACTGGGCTCAAACTTGTACTTGACTGCCAGTGGAGGCTTTGAGCTCCAGCTTGAACTCAAGTTGCTCAGAACACCACTTGAATGGTAAATTGTCTCTGCAATGCCCACAATCAACTTCAGCAATACAGTTTTACAGCAACATTAATATCCTACTCCAAAAAGAGGTCGGCAAAAACAATTCTTGAAACGTTAATTGCTCAACAAACAATATAAAAACTTAGTGTTAGATGAGAAAACCAGAAAATTGTCACTAACGAAGTTTGCGGGATGTGTCTAAACATCCAAGAACTGAACTCACTCTTCAACTGCCTAAAGCTTTGGTCCAATTGTGCACGGCCTGTCTCCAGCATCTCAGATGCCTGCTCTCCGGCAGAAGCAGCATTGTCAAAGTACTCTTTGATGGCAGCCACAATCTCAGCAAGATCCTTGTGCCTTACAACTATTCTTGTATCAGAGATCATTTCCCCTTTGGCAGTCTCATAGCCCCAGCTCATTGAGGAGGACCTTCCATCGTCTGTTTCACATTTCCTGGCAGACCCATTGATTGAGTTCCACCTCATCTGGGCAGGAGAAGCCTCATTCTTTGCAGGTTTGCACCCAAAATTTGACCGTTTTTCCCCAATCTCAGATCTCAAATCCTCTTTCTCTTCTTCCTCAATGTCGGACGAGCTCGTAGTACTATAGTGATCATGGTCATCCCACTCGCTGCACTCTACTACTTCCCTCTCTGCTTCGCTATCCCAATTAGTGTGTTGGTGATGGTGCTGGCCATGCTCTATATGTTCCCTTGATAGAACCGGATTGTGAGCCCGAAATTTCCCATTCGAGTAGTGAGAGTGTGATGAATAATTAGAAGCCTTCTCGTCCTCAGTGCTCTGGGTATGTAAAAATTCAAATCGTTTGTGATGATAATCCTTGTTAGAAACTCCTTGTGAGTACTGAGAATGAGAAGATGACCTATCAGCATCAAACCCATCATCATTGTTGTTCTTCTGAAGCTGTTCGAAGTACTCTGAACTTGGGGGTGAAGGAGGGTAGAAATTTTCCCAGTTCCAAACGGATGAGGCTTGCGAAGGAGTTCGAGAATAGGTTGAATTGCCTTTCGCGTTGTACGTGTAATTGCGTTTCTCGAATGGATTGTGAGCTTTGGGGGTGGACGCGAGGCTTGACTCTGAAAGGATGTGAGGGAGTTTGACGGGGTTTAGCGGGTGTGGTGGTTGGCGGCGGTGTTGGCGCTGGGAGGAGACGGATGGGGCGGCGGAGAGGATGTGAGGAAGTTTGGAGGAGGCGATGGTGGGAGAATCTGAATAAGAGAATTGACGCGGCTGAGGAGTACGAATGGACGGAGGTGGTTGGTGGATCTTAATCGGAGGCGGCGGAAGAGGCGTTTTGAAGTTGGATGCCGAGGGAGTACGGAGAACCACAGCAGGGGACTGGTCGGAGACGGCGAGAGATTCGCCGGAGGCGAAAGTCATGAGGGCGGAACCAGTGAGCCGGAGGGAGCGGCAGTAATCAGAATGAGCAGAGGCGAGGTGGTGCCGAGCATAGACGGCCTCCTTCATCAAGCGCCGCCGCTCCCTGCACCGCCGCACGGTTTCGTCGTTATGCAGCTTCGAAGCTGCGCATCCCATTTTCTTCTAACAAGTAAACAAAGACGAGGAGGTGGTGTGCCTCCGCCGCGGAGGGCGCGGATGCGGCAGAGACTGCCGGAAAGCTAAAGAATGCGGCGGAAGAGATGGTGGTTGGCGGCGGAGGAGATGTCCTTGGCACTCCCGTCCGAGCAATGGAGCTCCAACAGTTGTCTTCTGGGCTTTTTTTTACTCGATCGCAGCATTTACAGCCACAGGTCACCCAGTTTGGAGCTGTAGTGCTTTTTGCTGCTGCATTGCTGTAGTGCTCATTTCACTATCTCCATGTTGCACTTATAAATCCAACCTTTTCCCAAATTTAAAAACACTTTGATTATTTTAATTTGACAACAATTCTTGTTATCATGTTAGACCACTAGATTCATACCCGTGCGTTGCACGGAAAATAATTTATTCTAAATTATTAAAATGATATTTCCATGAAATAAATATGTCTAAATCTAAATTTAAATATAAGATTAAATATAAATTTAACATAGATTGGTAGCGAACTATAAGAATAAATTTGACACACAATCACAATATTTGAAAGAATTGCATTCTAAATTCTACTTTATTTAACGGGTATAACATGTTTGAGCAAGAGAGCCTGACGTAGCTTTTAAAAACGTATAATCACATCTCGGTGAAAAACCGGCTTATATAGGCATCAAATATATGACATATATGAAAGTATTCAATTGATTAAATTTATTTGCAATAACACCTTGTAATATTTTAAACTGAAAACATAAAATCTTACACTCATCTTTATAGCATTTTAGGGAAAAAATGTCTACTTCATAACATGGTTTTTACCCATATATGAGTTGCTCATATAAATACCCCGGTATAATTTTTGTAGTACATAAAAAAACATATAACATATGCAAAACACATCACATTCTACTTTTATCAATCACATCAAGGGTATCTTTGGAAAGTCAATACAAAAATAGTTCCCCCTTATATTTTTTAAAAAATCAAAATAAGAACATTTTTGTGGCGAAAGAAGTATTTATAAGCAATTATGCATTGCATGTTGAGCTAACTTTAATAGTAGAATTATTGGTCTCCCTGTCCAATAACATGTGGAGGGTTCCCATGACATTTTTACTCCAAAGTCAAAATCAACTTGTGTGGTGCAATTGAAGAGGATTAAGGGTGTGTTTGGGTCAGGATGGAGTAGGGGGGTTCACTGGAGGGGTTAGGGGGTTGGAAGCGTCAATTTAATTGAGCACTGGAGAGCAAAATAATATAAGCAAGGATAAAACATCTCCAACTTTCAATTATCTTCTACATATAACTCCACTTGATCTTTGGAATGACTAAAACTATTATCCCAAAAATTTAATATGTTTTTTACAATAAATAAGAAGCCAACTCAAAAATTGGCTCATTCTCACCTCAAAATACGCTACTGTAGAAAACGTACATATACCCTTTAAAATATTGATACAAAAATAAGAAGATATGATTTCTTTGAGATGTAACAATCAAACATTAAAAAACTAAGTCGGAATATGAAAATATTGGAATATCCCCTTCCAATTTTTCACCCACTCTCCACTTGCCCCCCCCCCCCCTCCCAAGGCTCTGCATTCATGAAAACGTTTATTCTTTACAAAGTTTGCTAATAATTTCAATAAATTGTACGTATATATCTTGATTATAAGATATTGGTATTAACAGTATCATGCTATCATAATATTATTAGCAGTGTGTTGATTTAAACAAAGTTCTTCTTTAAAAACAAATTTGTTATTTGTAAATCTTTTAATATAGTTTTTGGATTTGTAAATTTTATTTTAAAATTTTACACCATGTACGTATCATAAAATGATTTAAAAATAATTTCATTCAAACACCGTAAAGCGCAACGGAAAAGTTTATTTGTGAACGGAGTGAGTATATGCTGAATATACAATAAAATTATATACCTAAATTTATACATTATTGCATATCACATCAAACACAAACAATAATATATTCTTTTTTATCCAAATTTCTAATTTATGTATCTAGTTGATCATTTAATTGAGTAACTTTTTAACACTTAAATTCTTTCAATATTTTCCAACCATTTCCAACTTTTACTAAGTCTTTCTAGTTTCTTCCAACTCTTTTCAATTTTTCCAATATCCAACTTTGAAATTCCAACAAAAAAACAGAGTCTAATTCATGCATTAATGAAAGTTAATTATAATCTATGGTGCAGAACACAGGCTTATGGCCCGGAAAATATGACCAATATTTTTCCAAGATTATTTTTCTAATATATTCTTTTGCTTTTATATACTTCGTAGTATATAGATATCGGCGTTGGTTGGTAAATCTTTGAGAATATTTCTAACTACATACGGATTATTATTTTTTAAGTGATGGCTTGCATATAAAAAAATTATGAGCAAAATTGGGAAATAGTAGAAATTTAAATGAAATTATTTTATACAGAGTAATATAAAATGAATAAAAAAACAATATATTTTCGAAAAACACTTTGATCAAGCTATCTACATTAAAAATTGGAAGCCCAAAGGCCATTACCTAATACTCCGTATTAATTATACTCTTTGGAATCCAAACCCAATCATTTATGCTTAGGAAGACAAAAGGACAGTCGCAAGATTGCATATTACCCATGCACAAATAATGTCCGTACATAGATCAAGAGTTTCCAATCAACGGTGTTTTTTGATATTACTTGCTTGCAGTTGTTTAACTAAAGAAAATTTGTAGAAGTATTAACAATGTAGATAGGAATGAATATGATGAGAGTTATGAAACATTACGTAATGATAGAGTAGTTTATAACTAATCTCATGCCGTGACTATAACTTCAATAAAATACAGAAGTCTGCATTCATTTTTGGAATAAATTAAAACAAACTCTTTCATACAACTTTTTGGGTATAAGATTATAAGGAAATACAGAGTAGTTCAGAATAATATAAGGCATATTTTTAAATAAATTCAATTGCAAATGGAGACTTTACCCAGGGCTGGCCCCGAAAAATGAAAAAATAAAATTGGCTCGGTCCAGAATTTACATATTGGGCCATATTTTATTTTTTTCAAATACTTTTGCTTTAAAATTATTAACAAATTTAAGAGTATGGGGTCCAAAAATTTTAGAGACCCTGTATGGTTGGCCACTTTGCACACCCTCCGGGCCACCCATGAGCCATGACGTCTTTACCTCTATCATGGATCATATTATTGAACAAAAAAATATGGAATTTACATGTTTCAAAAGCTAACGATTTAACTCTAACAATAAAATGAAAGTGTATAGAAAAGTAGTAGTCTGGCTATTATTGCCAATTTTCGTCTCATGTCTATTTAAATCGTGATGATTTGTGTTTACAAAAAGTGATAGTAACAATTATAAGAGTCACAACTTCTTTTGAGATAAATGAAAAAAGAAGTATAAAACTTTTTATGAGAGAGAGTGCGTATAAAATTTTATCGAAACATTAGCTACTCCAAATTATTTATATGTAATGTTGGATTTGTATTTAATGACACACAAATAATTATTTATTGAACTTATCATAATTCACATTTTTAACTGAATTTCTTGCCGTACGCGTGCAGAGCACGGATATGAATCTACTATCAGCAAAAACCTTAAGAAATGAACAAAAGAAGAGAAAAATATAATTGGTCTATGTTACAGAAGTGCAAACGGCAGAAAAGCAATGAACATAGAAAGGCAAATTAAGAGTCAAAAATTAATTGTTTCATTTATTACTATTGTTGGCTACGACTAATTATTTTTGTTCAATGAACAAAGAGCAAATTAAAGGCCATACATTTATTATTCTGTAGCTGAGCACGCATAAACTTTTTTTTATTTCTTTTTTTTTTCCACCCCATTTCTTTTGCTTTTGTATATAGTATAGATGTCTTGTGGGCTTGATCCTTGGCCTGAATGTGACCATGGCGATATCGATGACATGATGAAAGCGTGACAAATTGGGCTAGACAGTGGTCATGAGATTGCCCCTCTCAAAAGACGCGCTCGCATTGCCAACGTTAAAAAAGAGAGTCGATGGCTCCATTTTTCAAAAAAAAAGAATTGCATATTTGTCTATATATGTGTGTGTGTATAATTCTACACAACATCATTGTCCTCGTACAACTCTCTCTTCAATTACTCCAAAAAAATTATTTCTTCAATACTACTCCCTTCGTCCCCTAGTTTTTGTCCACTTTTGATTTTTGGAACTGTTCATCTAAGTACTTTGACTCATCAATTTTTCTCAATGTGTAAGCCTAAATATAGTCATCTGTGATCTTGTTTGATTTGTTTTAACATATAGATTATTAATATATAATTTCTATAATTTTTTAATATACAAATTACAAGATAAAATGGATTAAAGAAGTGCATTGGATGGTGTGTAAAAATGAAAGTGGACAAAAACTGGGGGACAGGAGTATTATTTTGTAGTGACTAGGTACCTTAATATGAAAGCCAAACACAATTTATCTAAAAAAAATGCCTTGACTAAATACGTCAATTATTCTAGGATGCACTTCCGAAGAACTCAATGGTAGATTGTTTTTACGAGATGAAAGAGCTTAATTGTACAAGGATTGAGTATTCCACTCGAGCACATACATTGTTGTATTTTGGAAGGTAAGTTATATTGGAAGAAGATGAACACCTACCAATGCGTAAAATATGCAAGAAGTCTCGTTACAGGGGGATTGCGAGGATTATTATGTTGTAACCGAGAAAAAAACATAGTTAGAGCTTGAGTACCCAATACTAAATCTAATAAGTGTTGCGTTTTAATTTGTTCAAATACATATTGATGGTTTGATCCTCGACCTTGTTAGGTAACTAGGAATCACGACAAATACAATATAGCCAATTCAAGGTTATAAAAACATGTGTCTTCAGCATATACAAATCTTATATCCTTGCATGAGGTCATCCGAGATGGACAATAGGACTAATTTCAAGAAAATGACAAAATCTTAGTGGTGAGATATTAGATGTACAATATGACTAATTTCAAGAAAATGACAAAATTCCTCCAAGAGTTATTGATGTTTCGTCGAATGAAGATAGTATCCTTTTATCATGCAAGGAAGATGTGAATTTCCTATTTTGGATTAACATGATGAAATAGACAACGAAGTGGAGATAACAATGTTTAGTAGTGAGATGTTAACAAAGAACGTCTTACATCTCTAATAACTCGTGTATACCATCATGAGCATGCGACCACTAGAATATAACACTAATGTCTATAACTAGTCAAATGTTGTGTGTGTATATATATATATATCCTTTCGTTCCTTCATTAAACTTAAATTTTGACTTCGCAAAATCTACGAAAGAAATCAAGAAGTAAATAAATGAAAGAGAACACACGCCATAAAACACATATTTTATTAAAAAGAAAAAAATGGTGCATGAAATTATTTTAAGAAAAACAAAAAAACATAGTATATCAATGTTGATACCACTTTTTTATTAATATTCATAAACATTTCATACTATTTTGTATCTATCATCCTGAAAAAAAGGGAATTCATATTTCCATTGTCTCACAAAAAAATCCTATATTTTTTTTTATCTAAATAAAAAAATCAACATTATTCAATTTTAAAAATCAATAAAACCAATCCAATTTTTTAAAATTTTCTTATCAAATCAAGGGTGGAACCTTTTTGTGGGCAAGGGAGGGAGTGCTAAAATGTACATGTGCACATTAGCATAGTCATCCCTCTCGCCGTATACACTGTCTCGCCGGGTACAATCTAGGTTTTCATCCCCGTTTGAACTCTGAACCTGCCCTTACTCGCCGAGATATAGCCATAGCCATAGCCAATCCATCTAGGGTTCAGTCGAACTGGACTGGGTGAACCCTCTGGTACGCCCCCTCCATTGCAGTCTCTCTGATCGTCTCCCTGCCGAAACCCTAATTTCTCTCTGCACTGCCAATGCCATCGCACCCTTCTTTTTCTTCTCATTGCTTATTTCTTCGTCAGTAGGATACGCATTCGGTTTTATCTGCTCGGAATTGGAAGATGGACATTGAAGAGAGGCAAGCGGAGCACATAGAGTACTTCGTGAAGCAAGCGTCTGCCCTCAAAGGCCCCGCGCTGGCCTCCGTAGTCGTGGAGGCCACTTCTCATCCATCGCTTTTTGCCTTCTCGGAGATTCTCGCCGTTGGCAACGTTCTAGAGGTTTGCAGCGGTTATACTCATGACCTGTTAATAATTTTGTGATGGTGGATACATGCGAAATACTTGGCCGGTTTCAATTTTATGATGATATTATGTAGTTCACTGTGATATGTGCCATGGCTCCGCTTCCATTACTGGGTTGTTCCGGTTTTTGCTTTGCTAATTGCTGGTTCATTGTTGGTGAATTTTACATGCAGCTTGAAGGAACTGAGAGTTCTGTTTACCTCGAATTGCTTCGCACTTTTGCCCATGGAACATGGACCGAGTACAAAAGTAAGTGTTTCTCTTCACTTTTTTAGGGTTCTGGTTTAACATCAGCTCATTTCATGGATTTACTGTTTTTATAGCCTATTCAGTTCTTGATTTATTAGGGAAGGGAAGTTGAAGTTTGGGGTATAACAACTTAACAACAACACCATAAGATTTCTGTATTTTGGTTGCTTATTGACTTTAATAGGCTTCTCTAAGCACTATTATTTTCATCTTATTTGGGCGTATTATGTATACTCAAAACAAATTTTCAGTCCTCACCTCTTTCTTAGTAAGATCATATGAACGAATCATGTCTTCCCAAAGCATGTGTAAATTGAGATCTAGAAATACTGCTTCTTTGTTGGCTTTATGGAGCATTATAATTTTGTGTGTGTATACCTAAAAGGTACTTGTGGTGTTTGTTCTTTTACTCTTTTACCATAGTGTTTAAAGAAATGAACCAGGAATTACCAAATTATCTATCCAAAAAAAGAGAGCCAGATAACTGCTCTGGAACTCACATGTATATGCATTAACCTTGAACTCATGCATTTCTATTGGCTTCATCCAATAGTTCCAACTGTTGTGGGATGAGGGATTTGTTTCTTGTTGCAGTCCTACATTTCAGGAGTTTGATGTACTTATTATTCTATTTTCTCTAGTATATTTTTGTGTATGTTTAAGTGAACAGCATTTGTCAGTATGCCTGTTTAAGTTGCTCATTGTGCTGGATTTGTTGAATCTTTCTTGCAGATTAATCATGGTTTTGCTCCTTCATTCAAAGTTTATTGATCTTTCAGGTATTGCTGAAAGGCTTCCTCAAATGGTGCCCGATCAAGTGCTCAAGTTGAAGCAACTAACTGTGCTTACACTGGCTGAGTCGACCAAGGTATATTATATTCCACTTTGTTCCTTTATGATGATAACATAACCTCGGAGGAACAATTTTTTGTGACAAATTGATCTTGTTTTTTCTTCCGATTTACTGATATTATTGTCTGTTTGTCTGTTATCAATGTTAGGTGTGTTTATCCATAGTGCTCATTATGAGATGCTGCTATCCAATTTACATTGCTCTTTTAGCAAACACTGATCTGAATATTCAAGTACATAATACCTTTCCTTGTTTTGTAGGTGCTTCCCTATGATTTACTCATGAATGAGTTGGATGTCACAAATGTCCGTGAGCTTGAGGATTTTCTCATTAATGATTGCATGTATGTGGTGAGTATTGAACTTGTCCCCTTATACAACTTTCTGTTAACGTATATTTTTATGAAGTGGAATGAATTTAAATCCCTACAATTTCTCTCTGAAGGATTGGCTTAGGGTGTTGTTTATTATCGTATGCCGTATTGTCTTTTGTCCTGGACTTGCGTAGACTTTTATACTGATTACAGTTGAATGTGCTCTTCTATGTTTTGATCATCACTATTCTAATGTGAATATGCCGACAGGGCATAGTTAGGGGAAAGCTGGACCAGTTGCGTAGATGCTTTGAGGTTATGATTTTCATCGTTTATTTAATTGGAGTAATTGCTTTATCCTTCTTTTGTCTACTCTCTGGTCTCAAATCTAACATTTTCCTGCTATTTTTAGGTGCAATTTGCTGCAGGGAGGGATCTCAGGCCTGGTCAATTAGGGAGCATGTTACATACGCTAACAGATTGGTGTGTTACTTTGCTGTGCATAGTTTCTGGTCAATTAGTTATTTTATATGATCTTTTACGCTATGTGGTGGGGTTTTCAGCTACAAGAATAGTGATTTTGTGCTAGTAATTTAACATCAGAAACGTGACTTGTAGTGTTCAAGAAAAGGGGCAGTTGAATTTTTAGCTATGCTAATTTGAATACCTTCATTACTTTTTTCTAGGTTCTTTGCTCCTTTTGCAGTTTATCCATTCTATTAAGCTGTGTATGATAGAATGGTCTTTCAATTCATTACAACTTGAATAGCCTTGATTAATATTCTTTTTTTCATTTTTATAAACCGTAGGTTGACTATTTCTGACAATCTTCTCATATCAATTAAAGAGAAGATCAAATGGGCTGATACAATGAGTGAGATGGGCACAAAGCACAAGAAGGAAATGGAAGAAAAGATTGAAGAAGTAAAGAAGTCAATGTCCTTCAAGGTCAGTTCTGTTAAATGCTATCTATCACAATTTGTTTATGAGCAGTCCATTTGTTGCTTGTTCGCACGATCTAATTCCACACAATAGAACTGATTGAAGTCCAAAATGACTTATAAACAAAAACATGGTTTGTGCTGTGTGGATAAAGTGAAGCATCATTACGTGCCTGAAACTAGTGGCTCTTTAGTTGGGTTCAATAGGGGAGGATACCTTTAAGTTTTCATGTAACACGTGAAAACTTATATGCTTTCTCCAAGTGAATTGTTGTTTACTTGCGTATCTGATCACTATAGTGCACACATAGCTTCTCTAAAATGATAATAATGTGACTATGTGAGGCTAATTTAATATCCAAGTACTTGGATATCCCAGTCGATGTGTCTTACTTACATTGTGGCAGAAGTTACCAACAAGCAGGCGGACATCAGCTACAGAGGGCACGAGGAGATGTACCCTGAACCTGTTGGAGTGATGGATTTTGAGGAAGATCGAAGCCGGCCCAAGAGGTAAACTAAAATTGAGACACATCTCTAACAATCTTATTGCATGCACAATTCGATACCCACTTGAAAACTTAGGTTGGTAGCAAAAATGTTTGTTTACACAATATAATGAAATGATATATACTCCCTCCGTCTTCCTAAGATGTTCTCGTTTTGACTTTTTTGTGGTTTTCAAAGAGAGTTGAAAAAAGGTGAATGTTTACCAAAATACCCTTAATGAAAATGGGTGGAGTATATTAAATGAGGTGGGTGAGGTGTAGTAAATAAAGTGGGGGTAATTTAGTCGACTTTTTTGTGGTTTTCAAAGAGATTTGAAAAAAAGTGAATGTTTACCATAATACCCTTGATATATTTTCTGAATCTTTTGAATTCTGATTCCATTAGACTGAATCTCCTTTCGAAATTTTGTAAATCTTGTACACGCAGGAGAAGACACCCTCATCACCCACTTGGGTAAAGAAGGGGACACGTGGATCAGTGCGGAGTTTGGTTTAGTCGGGCTGATTTTTGTCCATCAGCTATGCCAATAGTGTGCATGATTGCCTCTTTGAGAGAGGCATTGCCTGCTTGAGATTTGAACTCGCGAAACAGATTTTTAGACTTGGGAAGTGTTGACTGTGTATGATTTTTGTTCTCAAACCTCTCATTGACATCTCTTTTTATTTTTGTTGGCAAGAACATGTTCTCTGACAATGGCTGACTTGTTTTATATATATATATATATATATATATATATATATATATATGGAGAGATTATACACACTTTGTTAGATAAAAATGTGTCAAATTCATATAGGAATGAACAGCCATCTCATCCTATAGCAATGGGTTATATGGTGCACTAATAGGATATATGATCATATTCTGTGTGGTGTACCACATTTTTGTCACCATTTTTGCTACTCTGCCACCACTCCTGCCTCCATTCTACCACCACCATTGCCATGTTCCCCTTTGTTCTCATCGCCACCAGCCCACCCCGTTGTGGCCGTCATCATTTATGATTCGATAATCATGTTTTGGAGTGATAGATTGTTACTCTTTTGTACTAGGGAAGAACTGGCCAAACCTGGTCCATTCATATGTATTCAAGCCGGTCCGGTCTTTGAATTGGATTAGTCGAGTGACCATATTTTTTGTTAGAACCTCCCAGCCTGGTCCGATTTTCAAAACTTTGGATTTAGAAGGGCGTAATTTGTATGAATTTCTACTCAACTTCAATTCTTTTAGTCATGAATTTCTATTCATATTTTTAAAGTCTCTTTAGACTAAATAGCAGCGATAGATATTTTTATTCATGCTTTTAAAGTGATTGATTTTTTGTGAATTTCATTTGTTAAAAATATATGGATTCTTGTAGCAACCTGTTGTTATTAAAAATGGAGTTAGACTATATATGACTTATTTGTATTAAGCAGATGGTTTCTCAGTTCTCATACTTATTTATAATAAAAAATAAAAAAAATAAATGGATTAACGGGAAAGTTAATATAAAAAAAATTCTTCCTGCTTGGCTAATATGACCCGAAAGATAATTTTTTACTCGTAAATTTTTAGACTTATCGTGCATAATACATGATTTTGAAGGACTAACAGTGTAACTTAGTCATTTCCGAATGTTTTTTAATTACTTTTAAGATCCTAATTTGGTATACCTATTATGGATTTTTAAACCACTAAATTGAATGCATCTAAACATTTGAATTCTAGAAGCTTATTCTCCCTCGGTCCTAAAATAAACATTTTCATTTCCTTATTTTGTTATCTCAACATAAAAAATGAGCAACATCATCAAGAGTCTCCTTTTTTGGAAATGAGTAGAGAGAATTGAAATTATGTTTAACAAATTAAACAAAATGATTGATACAATGAAAGTAAAAGAGGAAAGAGAGTGGGAATTCAAATTAAACCATCCTCGGCCGCTCCTTTGATTGTTTACATCACTTACAATGAGGGGATTTCTGTCGCGCCGTTGAGATTCATTGGAGCGGCTCGGTGCATGACAGAGTTCGACTACAAGGGAAAGGGAGCGTACGACATTGTGAAGTTGGTGCTCGATGTCGTCTATTCAGCGCCTCGCCCCGCTGTAATTCGATTTTTTTTAATTTCAACTCTATAAAATTATTATTTTTCTAATTTTATTTTATACCACATTCAATCTCATATCATTCTCCTTTTAAATTTATCCTCATATTTCTCATTTCACTCTTGAAAATGGATCTCCAAGCAATGGATGATGAGCTCATGAATATGCTAATTGCGGCATACGAGGAGTCGTTGTCTCTAATCTAAGCGGAGATGGAAAATGATATTGCTCGACTGAATGCGAAAGCTACTCCTTCCATTTCACGTATCTAGTTGTACATTTGTTGGGAACACGAGCATTAAATTATTTTGTACTTCCTAGCTTTTTTTAAGTAATCTATTTTTTAACAAAGAGTGTCGTTGTTAGTATATTTATTGTAAAATAAATGGAGATAACGACTCGAGTTGACAATATCAATAAACAATGAACATGTTTGATAATAATGATAGAGATTAACTTTAAAGTTTTGGATAAAATTTTAATTGTATAATGTATTTTGGAAATGTTAACGCTAAACACTGTCCGCAGATATCCATTTTCAAAACACTGTCCGCAGATAGTCATTTTCCTTCTTAAATGATCTTAATAATGAAATTGGAATTTTTCGATGGGAGAGAGTGGTAATTCAAAAATATAAACAGAAAATTACTCACGGGTGACGCGAGTTTTGTGGAATAACTCTCAAGTCCCACTATTTTCAAGAAGACAACAAAGGTCCTTACATTTTGTTGTAATGACTGGAAGGGGACATTTCATCTATAAACGTTAATAAATGTATTTTTTTTCCTATTCTTTTCTAAATGTTTTAAGGTAATACATCTTAGGTCGCTTCTTTTTTTATTTCTTTGTTTTTCTTTCATTTTGTTACTATTTTTTAAAGTGTTATTTCAGAATTTCTTCTATAAAATCGTATAAAAATTCAAAATTGTTTGTATTATATTAAAACAAATGAAATAAAAAAAATTTAAAAAAAGAAAAAACAAGGTAATGGCAAAATAGGAAAAAACGATATTGGAAAAATAGGGAAAAAAAATACATTTATTAACACTTACGGATGATGTATTGGATGAAATGTCCCCTCCGAGTCATTACAACAAAATATAAGGAACTCGGTTGTCTTTTTGAAAATAGAGGGACCTGAAAGTTATTTCGATAAAATTCGCTTCACCCGCTATTAATTTAATTTTATGAAATATAAATAGGAAATTCATACGTTGGTGGGAACGAGGGATAGACCGAAAGTAAAACAGGAAAGAGGAAAGTTGACCAAGTACTCCGGCGAGGGTGTCGGAGTTCGTCGGAGATCGGAGGACAAGTGACGATGAGAGGTGACAAGCGCCCCTATCATTCTGTTTACTCATCCAGCTCATGGTTCGATCACTTCTGGTCTTCCGCTAGGCGGTCCAAGCCTCTAGCCAGGCCGTCTGAACTTGCCGGGCGGACATTCACCGGCGAGGGTCTCTCCCGCCGTCTTTCCCTCTTCGATCTCATTCTCATCGGTATCGGCGCCTCAATTGGAGCAGGAATCTTTGTTGTCACCGGAACAGTGGCCCGTGATGCTGGACCCGGTGAGTTCGCACCCAATTTTGAAGCTCACTCGGTATTTCTCTTCTCCCCCTTTCACTTTGACCTTTTTTGGAATTTAATAATCATTCTGTAAATGCTATTCACATTCTGTGATTATTTATTTATTTATTTATTTATTTATTTATTTATTTATTTATTTATTTATTTATTTATTTATGTCTTCAATTACAATTCCATGTTGCTTTGTTAGTGCATTATTTGCTCTCAGTATAAAAATCAGCTCTTACTTACCTCATACTCTCTCATTTGCTAGTTGCAATCTCTTTGTTGATTGTTAGAGTATAAAATCTTTTGCAGGCTTAAAACCACAAGTTTATCTTTGGACTGTTTTAGTTTTTTTTTGACACGGTATTAGAGCCTTGTTGACCTTAAATTCACGAGTTCTCAGTTTTAAAATAATCATGTTTGCTTACAACGTTCGAACAAAAACAAATGGGGTGCATGTTAGAGTATAAAACGTTTACTCGACATACAACCACAAGGTTTAGCTTTTGGTCTAGTACTGATATACACTTCAATTTTAAAATTTAACTTGATGGGTTGTTTGAAATGCTAATGGTGGAGGGGCTTCATGATTCCAATGCAGGAGTCACTCTCAGCTTCATAATTGCTGGATTGTCTTGTGTTCTCAACGCACTCTGCTATGCCGAGCTTGCAGCCAGCTTCCCTGCAGTTGTTGGAGGGGCTTATTTATACACATATACAGCTTTTAATGAGCTTACTGCTTTTCTTGTATTTTCTCAGTTGATGCTCGACTATCATATTGGTGCAGCTAGCATAGCACGTAGTTTAGCGAGCTATGTGATCAATGCACTAGAGCTCATTCCTTTCCTTAAAGACAACATTCCCAACTGGGTTGGACATGGAAGCGAGGAATATTTGGGATCATTTTCTTTTAACCTGTTAGCTCCTGTTTTGCTCATAGCTTTGACAATAGTTTTGTGCCAGGGTGTTGGAGAATCATCTTTGTTAAACTCAATAATGACAATAACAAAGGTGATACTTTTTTCCTGTTTTCAACAGTTGCTTTTCTCGTTATTGTGCTCTCTATCTCTGGTAAGGAATTATGAAAAATGTTTCTTTTTGAAACTGACATAACTACATAATAAGTTTCTTTGCAGATAGTCATTGTTATCATTGTCATCATTGCCGGGGCTTTTGAGGTTGATGTTTCTAATTGGACCCCCTATGCTCCAAATGGTTTCAAAGCGGTATTAACTGGAGCAACTGTGGTATTCTTTGCATATGTTGGCTTCGATGCAGTTGCTAACTCTGCTGAAGAATCTAAGAGGCCAGAGGTAAACTATCGGCATTTGAATTATTGAATGTGGAGTATGAGTAAGTCAATTATTTACCAGAACAATTGCAGCTTTGATATGTTATTTTTCCATGTATGTCCATTTGATTAAATCCTTATAATATGATGAACATGATGTTCAGAGAGACTTGCCTTTAGGCATAGTGGGGAGTCTTCTTGTCTGCATAGTTCTTTATGTCGCTGTCTGCTTAGTGATTACTGGGATGGTCCCATACAAATTCCTGGGTGGTGATGCTCCTCTGGCTGAAGCTTTCACTGAGAGGGGCTTGAAATTTGTATCAGTGCTAATCAGCATTGGTGCTATTGCAGGGCTCACAACAAGTCTCATGGTAGGGCTTTATGTTCAGGTAAATGCCCTTTTCTTTATACTATTTAGCTTGTCTAAATCACTTGCAAGTTACAACACATAATGCCCTTTTTTGTGTGTCTTGTGCAGTCACGATTGTATCTTGGGCTTGGAAGGGATGGTTTATTGCCTTCAGTATTTGCTAAAGTACATCTAACAAGGCATACTCCTATTCATTCCCAAGTTTGGGTTGGGATGGTTGCAATCATCTTGGCTGGTCTATTTAATGTGGAAAAACTTTCACACATTCTTTCAGTGGGCACTTTGGTATGCTTTTATCCACATATGGTTTATAATCTTATATAGTAAAACAAGGGGTTCTAAAACCAATCGTATTGGTTGATAACTACTGAGTATATACTCCTTCCCTAAATGGATTGCATTATCTGAACAATATGCAAAATAAATTTATTTTATTTAAAAAGTGGTATAGAAATAAAAAATACTACAACTTACATATTTTAAAAACTACATTAAAAGTTCTACAAAATAAGAGGTGATAAGAATACTTTATTTTATCAAATGACCCATGAAAATATGTAAATAAACAAAAGTTATCGGGAGGTCAGAATCCACTTTGGAATGGAGGGAGTAGTTATTTTTTTTTAATTTCAAACTTACTCAACAAACATGCATTGTACTCAAAATCTAACATAATCCCATGTCTCAAGCCTGAATGCTTAGCCAACCATCACCAAATCACCTCACTATACTTCAAAGTTTTTAAGCAATTTTTTTTTTTGAATTTTTCAATGAATTTGTATAGTACTATGTACGATGCAACAAAAGGTTTGTAATTTAATGTTTTGTAAGGAGATATAGTAACAGGACATAAAATTGGGCATACAATTTTAGGTTGTTATAGACTTATAGTAGTAGTGTTAGTAATATTGCTCCATAAAAAGTGTTGAAAAGTAAAAAATGCGGTTGAAATTTCTTAAGAGAGGAGTTGTGGGCTCCATATTCTTGACTTTATTAGGAAATTTAAGAAGCGCAAAGTTTCCTTTGGGACAACAAAAAGGAAAGTGTTACTATCTTTTTCAGACGGAGGGAGTAGTACACTTGTAGTTATGTGGTCTATTTTTCAAAACATGGTTTAATGATTTGCCACCGAACTCATCAAGTTAAATTACAAATTACTACTCTAGTGAAGGCATGCCGCATTTGTTACACTAGTTGTCTTTGAACCTGATGAACAATTTCTTATTATGGGTTATGATGCTCATCAGGGAGCCATAGAATTATTACCCAAAATATATTTGGAGAAATGATCTATTACACGACTAGTTTCATGAATTTATATGAACATGGGATATATGCTAAATTGAATTGCATGCAAGTATGCAACCTCACATTGCATTGATTTGATGCAGACAGGATACTCGGTTGTTTCAGCTTGTGTTGTATCTCTCCGGTTAAAAGATAAGACTGCAGGTCCTATCTCTACAGGGCAAATTTCAAACAGGGATGAAGGAATCATTTGCTTAATCTTAGTTGCATGCTCTGGCTTTGCTGCTGGTGCTCTATACCGTTTTGGTGCTTCATTTGTTTTCTTAATAGTAGCTGGAGTTATTGCCATATTTTCTGCTGCAGCTCTTCATTTCCGGCAAGTAAGTGAATTCAATTATTCTTTATTTTCAAAGCTTTAGTACGGAGTAATTCATTAATTCGGGGATGTCAGCAGTATTAGGCATTTCATCAGACTTGAGCGGTTAATATGCTCTCCATGTCCCAGAATATTCGTCCATTTTGACTTTTTGAGGCAAATATGCCGTGCATGCAATTTTTATACAATTGATGACCGGAGTTCGACCAATAATCTTGGACGTAGATAAAATACTACCATAACATCATTTTTTAACACACACTCTCACCCCCCCTTCCCCCCATTATTTGTAGTTGTGCTAATTTTAGTACTCAAGTTTATTAACAACCATTCTTTACCTTCAAGTATTGATTTGTAATGCTTTTGTTCCTTAAAAAAAATTTATAAGCTCTAACTTAAGATTAAATAACTGTTGAACATAATTAACATTTGACGGCAAAGATTGTTTATTTTAAAGTTGAGAAGCGAAAATTGAAGGTACTTTGATATTGATTTACCCTTGAGACGGTGGTCAATGGTGATTATGCAATTCATATACTGAACGCACAGTAGCACAGTGGTAGGTGATAGCTCACGCCTTAATCCTTATTTTCTTCAAATGTTTACTTTTAAATGTATAACCTTCGTGCTCACATCAATTTGCTCTCATGTTTGAGTTATGATACTGTAAAATGAACACACTTCCCATTGGAATTTGGAAGGATCACATTCTATAAATGAAACATAAAATAATGCTCCACTGAACAGTCCCTAACTAGTTTGTTTTTGCAGGTTTACAGTGACCCACCAGGATTTTCTTGTCCAGGAGTTCCAATCGTGCCGGCTGTTTGTATCTTCGTAAACATTTTTCTTTTTGCCCAGGTTTGGTCATTATGAAATCAAATACCATCATTTTCTTCGCCACCGCCACCACAATAGCAGTTTGTCGGAGGCTCCGTTTGGTACACGGAATTGGAATTGAAATTCTATGGAATTGAATTGGATGGATTCCAATTCAATTCCAAATCTTTTGATAAAATTAAGGTATTGATATAGAATTGTATCATGGTAATTTCAAATCCTTTGTTTGGCAAGACAAAATTGTATATAGAATTGATATGAAAGTATATTATGATTCCAAATCCACATCCACATATTTTTGTGCTACCCAATCCACACATTTTTGGAATTGATAAAGAAAAATTGGAATTAGAATTCAATCCCAAATCTACATATTTTTGTGCTACCAAAAAGCAGAATTGGAATTGAAGTCTCTAATTCCGATTCCATGAATTGAATTCCGTGTACCAAACAGAGCCTTAGAATTCTTACACATTGACGTTGAAGAAACAATAAGAGCGGGGCTGAGATGTCTTTCTGTTTTGCAGTTGCATTATGAGGCGTGGGCGAGATTCGTTATTATTTGCGCAATTGGAGTTGGCAGCTATGCAGTTTATGGGCAGTATCACTCCAATCCTTCTTCAGGTTCAAGCACATCCCTTGCTTACCATAGGGCCCCTGTGGGTGATGAATCTACCATGTAATGCCCCTCCTTCTCAATTCCTGTTATGTGAATGACTTTATATTGTAGGGATATTTGTATATTTGCTTGAATAAGTGAATAATAATAGCTCTTCTGAAATTCCAAACATTCCAGAAGAGGATACTTTTTCTTTCTTTTTTTGGTCCCTGCTAGACAATGTTCAGTCAAGAAAGAACAGGGTAAAAAAAAAGTTAAGAATTGTACCATGACTGTAACAATCCAGTGATCATTAATGCAGATTTATCAGTTCACATGTAGAGCCTCTGCATTTGGAATAGTGCTAGTTTCATGGAATAACCATGGTAATAAAATTTGGGGGTAAGTCAAGCCACTCTCTCCTTCATCACCATCATAGTTAGTAATATACGGTAATATACGGCTAACGTATAATATGCCAATGTGTACGTTCGTGTATAATATGTTAGAATTTTATAAAACTAGTATCACACCCGTGTGTTGCACGGTTCGTATTAACGTTATAAATTTATGTTGGCATTATTATAAAAGTAAAGTACACCACATAATGAAATATAATATTTTTTGTTTATGTAAAACATTAATATCATATAAATTACAAATTCTGAAAAACTTCTTTATAAACTACATTAGTAGTACATCTTGTGGAAACATGCTCTGCATCGTCAATAAGAATCTTCAAGCTATTACGATTTGTTATTTTTGAAACCGCAACATATATGATTGTCCATGACTAAACACTGGTTTCTGTAATAATAATCCGACATGTTCCTTACATGTTTGGTCAAAGTCATCATCCGCTTCAATAGTTTCATACTTTGAGATAATTGACTTATCCTAAATAAGGTCATACACTCCATAAGAATTAGAGTAATGCTAGGGGTATACTAAATGTGTACCCCATTTGTCCCCCACCCTCTTCTTCACCACTCATTCTTATTTAATTTTTTTATTTAATTTTTTTAAAAAGTATTTGTTCATTTATGTGGTAGAGGAGGGGTGGAGGACAAATGGTGTACCCCTAGCATTTTTCTAAGAATTATTCCCAACATAATTGGACTGATTCTCGATATCTCTCTTTACAAATGTATTGAATAGAGCACTCTTATGAATTATTCCGGTAATCTCCTTTGATATCTTTCTTGGGTCATCATGTTGTTATATTATTCATGGATATAAATTAGTACATTAAGTCAAGCAACAATCTTTTTGGAAATATCAATTAAAAACATTTTATTAGAATTTTAATACCTCGCAGACCAAGGTTTTCATCACGCTAGCTTGCATACCGAAAAGGTTCACACATTTTTTATCCCAAAATAATAAAGAAGCACTATCCGAGTTGTCTATAACACATACGCTAACCTTGTACCTAATAAATTGAATATACATTTTTATTAAAATTTTAAAATGTAAATTTATTTAATTTCAAAAATATAAATGAAACCTATACACTCCATCGAGATAATCTCTCTTGCATTTCTTGCATTTAAATCACAAACCATTTGGAATAAATTTAGTGTTGCATGTCTTACAATCAAGGTAGCAACATTCAACTGTGCTTTCAATCTCAACCATACCATTAATTATCCAGTTATATCCGTTCTACAAATAATAATAAATATATTACTCCGTATTAAGGAAAATTAGAATAAACATGCCTCTTTACTTTAATTCATATATTGCAACTCTTAAACGCAGCATTAAAATAAACACTCAAAATTTGTTATGTTACATTTAATATTACACATAATATGAACAAATTATTAAGTCTTACATTATTAAATAATTAATGACTCATTAATTCCTTGTTACACTTTTCCTTACACGTAGTATGAATTTTTTTAAATAAGTTTAAGATTCAAGTTTAATATTTACATCTCACAATCTAAACACGAGATTTATTCTTGTTTCTTTTATAAAATCGCATTCTCAACAGAACCAACATATATATATATATATATATATATATATATATATATATATATATATATATATATATATATCACGGAGTATAAATTAGAGTACATACTTTGCACTAAAATATTTAGTAAACACATGAGTAAAAAGTATGTGATGAATTATATTCCATATATTTGTTAAGTAATTATATTCTGTATATAAGGGTTATATTCTATAAAACTCTGACAACTCTTTATTATTTATATACTTTCGTACGGAGCATTATCTATAGGGATTGAGTTAGGGCGCCCGCGGGCTTTAACAACATAACCCATACCCAGCCCGCAACACTTGTCGGTACCCGTAATTTACGGGCTGGTTTGGCCTGAATGCTAAAACTCAAGCCCAAGCCCAAATTCTTCGAATGAGCCGAGTCAGATACCCGAACCCATGATCAGATCTAAGAGGGAGTATTTTATAGATGTCTTACGGGCAAATGGCCACACACATGTCCTCGTGGCTTACAAAAGAAACATTGAAACCTCATCTTTTTTTAAAAGTTATTTTGTAAAACCTTATTGTTTCTAAATGATGCATACATGCTCCTCTAACCTATTTTCAAACTTAAAATCACATTTATGCCTTTTTTCTTTCTATTATGAAGTTTCACTCTATTATTTTTTCCTTTCAATTTCCTTGTTTATACAAATAAATAAATAATATATACACTCTACATCCCAAATTAAAAAAATTTTATTCATTTATTTTTAAAAACAAAAGAGTTTTTTGGAGAAAAAATGAAATAAAATACTCTGTACGAAGTAAAAGAAAGAAGGATACAAAAGGAAATGAAAAAGAATTTTTAAAAAATATTAAAGAACTACTTTTTTTCTTTTATTTTGTATTTTATTTCATCTATCTATTTTTCAATTTTTTTATTAAAAATCCCCAAAAAGTTGCTTTAGTTTTGAAAAAAATAAGTGCAAAATTTTAATTTGGTGCAGAGTGAGTTTATGCTCTTTTTTTTTACTTTATTTATTTAGTACACTTTTATTTGAAATAAAAAAGGGAGCAGTTTTTTCTTTTTCTTTCATTGCCTTTTTTAACTCTTTTTTTTCTTTTGCTCTGAACAAAGTAATTTATTTAATTTTTCTATTTTTCATATTTCTTTTGTAACGTTCTTTTAAAAAAAAATTGTTTTGAAAATAAATGAACAAAATTTTTTAGGTGAAAATTGCACTAAATATGACTAAAACATAAATTATTTCCTAATGTAGGACTTAAACTTTTTGATTTCCTAAATGACTAGTGACAAGAATAATATCCAGAAATGATGGGCATTTACTTGAATAATGACTAACTCATAATGACCAAAAGTCCTACATTGAGAAATAAAAACATATAATCCTATAGTGGGAAAGTCATTATGTTTTAGTCCTATATAAGTAAATTTCTCATTTTTTAATTTGAGATGGAGAGTGCATATGTTGTTTTAATTGTTTGTATAAACAAGGAAAATTGAAAATGAGAGAGTGAAATTTCATGATAGGAAGAAAGAAAAGAATAAATGTCATTTAAATTGCAAAATAGGCTAGAGCCTTTTAGAGGTATATGTGCACGATTTAAAAGGTATAGAGATTTTACAAATAATTTTTGAAAAAAAAGATGAGACCCGTCCCAGAGGCCCCTCAGACCCGGCCCGACAGTCACTGAGAGCGAGAGGAGATAAATTAAACTTTGATCGCAGATTGGTGGCAAAAAGTAGAGCTTACACCTCGTACTTAGAAAGGTTCTATGTTTGACATAATTGCCTCCCAGCGCAGTTATTAGGAATCGAATTCGGATCTTATCTTTTTGGTATCCATTTTATAAACCACTGGGTGCACCAATCCTATGAGCCCAATGTTTTACTCTACCTATCATTTTAGTTTGAGGTTTTCCTCGAAGATATTAAATTTAATAGAGTATTAGTTCGTTTAACAGTATTTAATTAATCTGGTTTTGTACACTTCAGTTCTATGATGGACATTTTACATTTTTATTTGATGAACATATTTATCAGTGAAATTTCTATATGATCATATCATGTGAGTCATGTCATGAATTATAAATTTACATTTCATAAGCCATGACCTGGGTCCAACTTACACTTCTATAAACCATAAATTCAAAACTTACATAGTTACATATATAATACATGTATATTAATTATTAAACAAAAAAAAACTATTCATACCCCTAATAAAAAGTCAAAAACAATTTTTTTCCCAGCTTCCAAAATCAAGATTTTGGTTTTCCAAAAAAAAAAACAAAAACCTGAAACTGGAAACTTGAAAACTGGGATCTTATGAATGAAATTAGGTATGACAAATAAGTTGTATGGAACATAAAAAGAATGGCATTGTGCAGGTGAGATGGAAGAAGAAGATGATGGATGAAATCTCTGCTAGTTCGAGCCCTTCTGAAGCCTAATCTGCTCTTTGAACTTGGCAATGAACTCGTCGGCTTTTCGATCGACCTCGCTCCCTAGTTCCATGTCGTCGCTGAAGTACGAACGACCCGACTTCCCCCCATCATCAGAGCTCGTCTCCGACTCATTCCACACGCTGGCGGAATCGTCTCTCGACTCCAAAATGTCGTTGTTCCCATTTCCACCGCCAGCGAAGTCTGGAGGTGGAACGGGACGAGCTTCATCCACGCCCCTCCTCCTAGGTGTCGTCATCAACATTGATGACGACGATGATGTTTCGAGAGGATTGATCAAACTTCTACTGCTCGAAGAAGCACTGGGATTTGATTTTGATTCGTCCACAACTTTTCTCGTTGTCGTCATCAATGATGACGACAATGTTTCAAAAGGATCGATCAGACTTCTGCTGCTCGACGAAAAGCTGGCATTTGAGTTCGATTCGTCGAGCAAGCGGGGTCTGATCGTCCTCACGGATTTGCCCCTCGGGACACCTCTAGGGCCTGATGTTCTTCCTTGTGAATACAAAGATTGGATTTTTTTGTCTATGAGTGGCGAAGAAGAAGACGACGAAGAAGAAGAATCCTCGGGAGGGCATTTAGTAGTCGCTGAAGAAATGGTGACCTTTGCCTCCTCTTCCGGATGATCGTCAACTTTGACGATCGCGGGGTTCGGAGAAGAGGAGGCAGTAGGTGATGAGACGGGGGAAGGAGGGGCGGGAGGATTCGTTTCGGAAGGCGTGGGACGCCAAAAGGACCAAGATCTAAGGGGGTGTGAAGGGGATTTTTTCATGCCATGACTCATACTCATAATTTCTTCATTGAATTCGTCCTCCACCTGCGAGTTCATCTCGGACGAAGACCTCGACTCGGGTGCGTCCGAGATGACACTGGCCTCTGCGAGGTCCATCGCCTCCGAGCTCAGGATTCGCCCGCTGCAGCCTTGCCGCAACAGGCCATCGCTCGAGGGGGAGGACAGGGGCGTCCTCCCGCTCCAGGACCAAGCATTCGAGCTCCCCCGGGAAAATGTTGCCCTGTCCTCCCCAACAATCTCATCATCCCCGCTGCCGTATTCCAAAGCCGGCGGCGGCGGGGGCGGCGCGGCCGCCACTTTACCCCCTTCTTCTCTCAATCTCGAAACCCTAACCTCCTTTCCCCGATTATCCGCCGCAAGATCAGTCATTCCGCTTTGCAGTTTATTACGACTGCTAACAACAATTTCCCAATCAGAGGAGCCATCCAATCCGGATTTCAAGCTCCGAACCGGCAATCCCAATGGTTTATCGTCGTTCAAAACAGGGACAGTTTCAGAGAATTCGAAAATGGAAGACGTATTAGAAATTCCAGAGAAATACGAAATAGAAGCATCTAACAGGGAATAAGGCTCTGAATCTAGATCTCCGGCGCCGTCTTCGCCGCCGACTCCGCCGTCGATCCTTCTGGTGCAGAGAATGCCGTAGCAGATGGAGAGGCCGATGAAGAAGAGGCGGAGGAGCTCCCAAAGCTGGGGGAAGATCTTCTTCTTCAGAGACTCGGGGGCTTGGGACGGGAACAGGAGGATTATGAGAAGAACGATAATGGCGGCCAGGTACTTGGGGAAGATGCTTTGCTGCGGCGGCGGAGAGGCCTCCATTGTTGCTTCTGAGTTCTGCCGGAGTGAAGAGAGAGAGAGAGGATCTGGTTGGTGAGCAGTGGGGAGAAGGAAGGTAGACTTGTGAGAAGAGATTGAAAAAAAAAAGGAGAGAGCAAAAAAGTCATCCCTATGATTATTATGCTCATGAAAAAACAATTTCAAATCATTTTTGACGTGGCAATTAGATCAATCGGATCGATCCTCAACTTCTTCCCTGTGGTAGAAAATTCACTATCTACTATTTGTGAAAAAGTTCAACTATGTTTGAAACTTAATAGAGACAGAATTAGTTACTCTTTATGCGTTATTAAGGTAACAATAGTATAAACATATATTATATTGTTTTAGAATCGATATCATTAAAAAAAATCAGATCAATTACCTATGATAGTGTTTTGTATTTATGAATCTTAATTAAAAGAACGATGTAAAAGATCGAGTCAAAATTAGCATACCCAAGAAAAAAGGGAGTATAATTTACTCCGTAACTTTGATGTCATTTACTCCATCTTTTACAGTTTTCATAATTACTCGATTAATATACGGGCTGTTAAAAGGTATCTTGTTTTCTTATATATTTTTTATTTCTACTCCGTATTTGTTAAAATTAAGTAGTAATGTCAGTTCTTATTTTGTATTGGTTGAACTCTTGATATACTTTTTAAAAATATAAATCTATTTTTAAATATTATACTTATAATTAAATAAATTGAATTGAAAATAATTTTGACTAAATATTGTACACTGAATCAAGAAAATTGTTTTTGAATGAAAAAAGAATTTTCTTTGGAAATGTACTTTAAGATTATGTTGTGATTAGAGTTAAAGATACTAATATTCAAAGTGAAACACTTTTTGTTTGAGAGAAATATATTTTTACTATTATAGTTTCTTGATAACTTTTTTTGTTTGTTTATTTTTATTGATTATTTGATAAAATATAATATTTTTGTCACATTTTACTTTATAGTAGTTTTTGAATATGTAATTTGTATTTTTTATTTCTTTATCAATTCATAAATAAATGATTCTGTCAAAATATGACACTCTTTGACCGTGAATTATGAAAAAAATATTTAGTTATAATGTAAATATAGTGAAATTGGGTTTATTTTAAAATATAATTTTGAAACATCAAACTTTTATAATATTAATTATTTTAAACTATATTTAACTCGTGGTCAAAGGATGCCACAGCTTGATAAGAAATGTCAAACTTTAACAATCTTTTAAAGAAGGAGAGAGTAAGATTTTACATATCGTTCAAATAATGTAACTTATTACTTATTTTGAGACAAAGGAATTAGATTTAATACTCTCATTTAACTTTTCTTAGTTAAACTTTTTAAACTTGACCACGATATGTGAAAAATGCATTGTGTTCGGATATAAATATAATACCAACAATTTTCTTTTGAAGCGTAATTTTGAAATATTAACCTTTTATTAAAATACTACATTGGATTAAGTAAAAAAAATCAAATGAAAGAATTATAGGAATATCATAAGTGAAATTTGCATTGAATAGGATTAAAACATAAGTCATTTTCCAATTTAGAACTTAAAATTTTTTTATTCCCTAAATTAGATTTAATAATGACCAGTGAGAAGAATAATGTCCAAGTGATGTTGGACATTTAGGTGAATAATAACTAAAGAAAACCCTCTAAATAGGAGTAAAACATGGATCATATCTTTAAAGTAGGAGTTCAAACTTAAACTCCCCTAAATAGGAGTAATTAATTAATTATAACTTTTGATTAACCCCTTGCCGCACAAACCAAGTTGGCCGAACAAAGAAGTTGGGCGCACAAACGGAACTCCAAATACTCATTAAACAAAACTAGTGACAAATAATAGACTCCCAATACTCATTAAACAAAATTAGTGACAAATAGTATGGTTATTTGATATTTACCCCCTTTTGACATTATGCATTAGCATCTGCGATATATGGCATTATATATTGACATATCTTTCATTATACATTACCAAGAATGATATTATACAGTGTCAAGATTGTCATTATCTATTTAATTTGTTTAGCATTATGCATTCGCATGTATGACTTTATACATTGGCATGATTATCATTATATGATTACACGTGACATTTAATGTTGTCTTTTTTGACAGTGTATGGACATTTTAATTTAGCAATTTACTACGTTTCTATATGTAAGGTATTGATTCATTTTTGTTGATGAAGTTTTGGGTGTGTTTTACTATTGAATTAATTTTGTTTACTTTCAAATTTGTTATTTTTTTAGCATTATGCATTCGCATGTATGACTTTATATATACATTGGCATGATTGTCATTATATGATTACATGTGACATTTAATGTGATCTTTTCTGACACTGTATGGACATTTTAATTTAGCAATTTACTACGTTTCTATATGTAGGGTATTGATTCATTTTTGTTGATGAAGTTTTGGGTGTGCTTTGTAATTGAATCAATTTTGTTTACATTCAAATTTGTTATTTTTTTGTTGATTCAATTTTGTTAATAATGATTCAATAATAATTTACTATAAATAAAGATGACTAAACGAGAGTTCTTGCCAAGATTTTGTTATTTTTTGATGACTTTTTATTTGATCCATGATTAGATTTGTTGGGCTTGTAAGTTTTTGTTGAAATTGTTTTATGTGTGTTGAGTGTACTTGTAATGTAAAAAGTAATTTTGTTGGATTTCCATGTTGATTTTGCTAAACTTTTTCCCCATGTTTTCATTGCATATCTTTGTTTGGATTTCTTGTGTAGTCTTTGTACATATTTTGGTTATAATGTTAGCAAATCAAAAAATCCAAAAACATATACTTTTGAGATTGTTGTACTCTTCTAGTTTTTTTACATGCAAATAGATAGAAAATCTTGTTATTTTTATGATTGGGGACATTGAAATAAAAAATTAATTGACACGATTGGTTTTGAACATGAAGTTTGAATTGAATGATTATGTTTTTGGTAAAATATATAGTTTCTTGGCGTTTCTCTTTTTAACATTCTGTATTATCATTTGTTACATTATATGTTGACATGTTTGTTATTATACATTATCATATATGACATTATGCATTGCCATGTTTGGCATTATGCCTTTGATTGACATTAAGCATTTACATATGTGCCTTAATGCATTAACATGATTTCCATTTGACATTATACATTCACATATATGCATGAGGACTTAATACATTAGCATGATTGTCATTATGATATTTTGTGTGTGGCAGTATATGTTATCACCTTTGCCATTATGTCCTTATTTAACACTATGGACACTTAATGTGGCATTGTGGTGGAGAAAGTTGTCTAGCCATGAGTAAAATTACATGATAATCCTTTGCCAGCCACCGTCACCTTGCTCGCGAATGGCCGCCATCAACGAAAATGTAGGAAACACAAGATATAGGAAATGCAGGGGTATTCGTGTTAATCACAATTATGAATACAATATGTTTGATTTAAGATCTAAATTCTAACCACTATTACAAATAAGCTAAATAAAATAATATATATGCATGTGTGTATAAGGGATAATATGACAGTGGCTTTAGATTATAATACAAATAATTACTAGTTAATTAGACAAGTTCATTATAGAATCTTTGCTTAATATGTCGATATCTGGTGTCAATTGCACTCACAATATTTATCCCAAGAGGTGTAAAGGGGCAATTGTCTGATTTGTCTCTACCTAATGAAAAACATGAGTTGCATTATGTTGCTAATGAGTCAGCATTAAAGGTAAACATGATTTAGGATTTTATGTTTCGGTGGTAAGAATCCAGTTTTCATTTTGGGTGAGTAAGCTACTCCTATTTTAGGAGTTTTATCTTTTAACTCCTATTTTGGAATTCTATCAATGTTTTACTTCTATATTGCTCCTTCACCATAAGAACTAATAAATAATGACCTATGGTCCTACATGGTAAAATAAAAGCATATAGTCTTACATTGAGAAAATCGTTATATTTAATGTTATTTAGGTAAATTAACCATATAGTAACGTTCCGTACGGGTTCCGGTATCTTTCCTTGTTTAGTCCCAAGGAATGACAGTGTCGTGAGTAGCCCGTTATTTTCTCGGTCCAAGATTTTCTCAAATATCTCAATCATTTGTACTTTGCTCAGTTTATTGGGTCTTAGAACATGAAAGTGGATCTTCGGATCTTGTCGCCCACCAAGGGAAGATATACCCCCCACACCAATGTCACCCTTTCTCTAAATTTTGCTTTGTGATAAGAGTGTGTCGGCCTCACTTTTTTAATTCAGTGTCACATCAGTTTTTCTTATTTCATTTTTGAGTAAATTTTATAATTGGTTCTTTATAACAGGAGGTTTCCATATTTAGTCCTCTATTATCAAATATTATCCTCGTAGTCCTTTTTTAAGGGTGTCTTTCCACAAATGGTCCTTTTTTGATCTTTTGTCATGTTGGTTTTAAATTAAAGGCTAAAAGTATAATTTGACATCAACATTATGTCTAGTGACGTGTTCTGATATTGGTTAAGCAGATAACAAAAAAATAATGACTATGATTGTGGGCTAGGATTCCAACGAAAGACCACATTTGTAGACTATGGTTGTAGTAGAAAGCGACTGTAATTCACAAACGATGGAAACAGAACAGCCTTTAGAATTGTGTATGACAAAAAAGATATATTACCATTGCGAAATTACACTTTTAGCTCTCAAATTAACACCAACATGATAGAAGATCAAAAGGGACTATTTGTAGAAAGATACCCATAAAAGAAGGACCACTGAGGTAATATTTGATAATAGAGGACTAAATAGGGAAACTCTCTGTTATAAAGGACCAATTATGAAATTTACTCTTCATCTTTATTCTATCCTCATTTTCTTAAATTTTTATTTTTACATATTACTTTTATAACATTTTATATAATTTTTTGAATTAAACTGACATAAAATTTGAAATTAAAAATTAAAAAAAACTGAAATCACAAGAAGAAAGAAACAAAATAAAAAACTGAAATTAAAAGCCAAAAAAATTGAAATTCGAATAAAAACTGAAATTAAAAACCAAAATAAAAATTAAACTAAAAGAAATTAAAAACTAAAAACTGAGATAAAAAAATTGAAACTAAAAAATGAAATTTAGGCTTGTGTTAAATATGGCAATATATTACTCCTATTATTTAAAAGATTTGTTTTATTATTTACCTAGGCTTTACCTCTTCACATGTCTGTATAAGTACTCCATCTATGATGAATAAGAAGTACGAGTTCAAAACACGTTATCAGCACGCTCACAACACGTTATC